GAGAAGACTTGAGCGGTGAAAAGTTTCCCAGGGGACATCTCAAGAGTAGCACGAAGAGATTTTCCTCCCGCTCTACACGGTAGGTCTCTCACCGACGTGACGGGGAACTAGAGACATTGGATTCGATGTCTTCATTCGATCCAGTCAAGAAGTGATGGAAGCATCTCCCGAGAAGCAAAGACCCTTCACTCCCCGGGTCTTCAGTTCGGTTTGATGCTCCCGGATATGGCTGATTCGATCGCGACCTGCTGGTTCAAGTAGGAGCTCTCAGCTCTGATTCGATCCGAGACACACCGAACTCGGCCTTCGAAGAGATCGAAGGATCAGACGATGCTCGTCCCTCGCGACGATTGAAAATCGAGCTGACACCTATCTCAGGAAGAATAACCACTTTCCGAATGAAATCCAGACAGATTGCCAAATGCTGACGGATGACTCTCGGGAGGGTGTAAGGGTACCGCGTATGAGTTACCAGCCGGACACAAAAGATCAGTTCCGCGCCGCGTAGAATTATTCCGACTCCTGTAGCGATTCTGGGAAATTGACGAAGGCATACGACCTTGAGGGGAAGGACTACGATCAGAATGAACCTCATTGACGATTTTTTCGGGAGGGAGCGATTCATTTTGATCCGGGGAAAGGCTTGCCGACGATTAGGGAACGACCACGATGGTCTTGCCAGGTCACCTGCCGTAGCTGACGCCGAGACTGATTTCTTTCCGAATCGATCGATCGTATGGGCACTAACATAGCTCAAAGGAAGTAGATCACATGTAGGGCATTGAGGGTATCCCGCAGACAACGAATGGAGGAGGCGATGAGAGACGAAGCTCTTTCGAGCGGAGTTTTTTTCTATCAGAATGCGAAGTGTTCGAGTGATACGGAGCTCGGCTCTTGGACGCAGCACGAATCAAGATGTACGCAACGGACAGGTTATATGTACATGCTTATTTCCATTCCTCCGCTGGTATTATAGCCCCATTTCCAATCTGCAGCAGCCAAGGTTGCAGCAGGGGCTCTGCGTCGTGGAGGAAACCGTGCTCACGCTGGATATACTTCGAGGAGAATGCGAGAGATCGATTGAGCCGGGTCTATAATATTTTCTGCAGAGGACTGCCCTAGACTGGCCTAATTGATCGACCAATCGGTGGCATCCAACAGGAATTCGTGTACGACATGGCGCCGCTCTCGAACAGCACACCAGATCGACCCTCTCCCTGGTGATGATTCCACGGAGAGAACACAGTCGGTCAATTCTTCGGAAACAAATTCAACGTCGATTGTTCCCAAATTCTAAGGTCACGAGAGAATGGTAATCGTCAGGGCCTCTGGGAAGGGGGACTGGGATAATCGACGCGCCTCGAATGGAGTCTGCCAGTCAAATCACACGTGATTCGTTCGAAATTCGGTTCCGATTAACCATTGTGATTTATTCATGATTCATGATCACCTTGTTTTCGTGGGTCCGTGAGTTCGACACGGGAGAATCCCTGGGCTTCCCCGTATTTGGATACGAAGACTATTCCGCGCTCGGTGGCGTTCAATCGATAGTGGGGGCACCTGCTCTTTTGAAGACCGATCCCTGACGGAGAAGATGAACTTCGCTCACGGGTCACGGGGGATTCCGGAGTGCGGGTGCGGGAGAAAGGGGAGGGGAATCCTCCCTAGGGCCGGGGAGTCATCGCGCAAGCGTATAGGCCGCGAAATCCAGCGAAATTCCCAGAGGTATCCGGTGACGAACGCCCAGCCTCGATCATCTCTCATCAGCGATGAAGGTGATATTTTTCGATTCGCGTATCTTCCATCCTCGGATCTCTCGGATACTCATGATTTCCTCGTCTTCGAAGGCCCCGAGTTCGGGAATGAGCGATTCAGAATAATTCTGATCACACCATCTTTGATCACATCAATATTCCAAAAGCACGTCCAGAATAAGAGAATTTCTACAAGCGAATAGATTACAGGCGAGAACTGTTCCCACGTCATGCCTCTGCGCAAATGTTCTTCGGCCGGAGCTCGCAGTCGGCGAGCGGAGCGAGTCTCCGACCATCCGTCTGGTTTCTTCATCGGCAGACCCCCAACAAGCAAGCCTGGTGGAACAATCTGGAGCACTCACGGGGAAATCGCAGTCGGATATTCTGCGCGAAAATCTTCCACTTCTCAGCCGGGAAACTTCGGAAAACACGTGAATGGGGAACGCAGTCACCACACTCTCGGCGAATCGTCGTTCCACGCCGGACAGTCCAATGTTCCTGGATCAACGATCGTTCTTTCTACAGGAATAGATCAATGCACAAAGGATGACTCTCACGACCTCGTCGAGGAACCTCCGAACCAATCCAAGCAACTCTGAAGAGATAATTCGCGCCTGGACTGCCTAAATATATCTCCTTTGCGACCAAACTCGCCCTATGGAAACAACCGCATCAAGATCATCATGATGCTCATCGTGTCATTGTTCGAGCAGGATCTCCTCGTTCCTCGAATACAGCACATTTTATAACCGTCTCCAGATATGCTTGACCCACGAAAGCCGAACTGATGCCGCGCTGCTCAACCCGAACGCGCACCTTAAGCTTTATCGCTTTTGTCTAAAAAAGGAACCATGCTGGGAGTCTGTGGCGCCCTCTCGATTATTATTGCGAACTCAGAAATCCAAAAGAATACATGGACTCCGGAAAAATATGAAATTCGCCCGCTGAAATCAACGAACCGGTTCAACGCGGAATCGAGAGCGACAATCCGAAGGATCGATCTGCAACAGCAGTTTTTCGTCCGATGATCATCTGACTTTTAAGACTGCTCCCCTCGGGCCCTGTCCAGGTGATACCACATAAACCAACCACAGGCCAACACAACAACATAAACGACGACTCATTCGACGACAAACTGCAAGAACTGCACCTGGACCGATGTTGTCGGTTTCGAATTTCCTCTCCTGCAAATATTGCTGGGATGTTGCGAAAGTTCTCCGGAGTTCTACGGGAAGATTAGAGCCATATTCGAGCTGTCTTCTGTGAACACCTACCTATATCACACACGTTAGGTCAAGGGCAAAGTCGTCGAATCAGGACCGTATGTGTCGACATGTCGAAAGTCTGGGGACTGTCGCGACTCGCGACATTCCAAGGGTCATCGGCCTCATCAATCTTTATCCTAGCTCCGAAGACGTTTCGAATTAATCAGAAAGGAACCTCACAGAACCTCCGCTCGCTCGTCCGTACTGGTGGCATACAGATCGATGTTTACGAGGCTGTATGTATAAGAGGACTTCATCCGAGTTGATGGGCACTGTGATCTCCAAACATATGTACAATGAGTGAAACCGAGAAAATGCGCTGCCTAGGGGGAAAGGGATGTTTTCGGCCCTAACGACGGAGAAAGTCGCTTTTTAGGGGAACAGGAATATTTTTGGCACCAACGACGAGTCCTGTGGGATTCCTGCCGCAGCTCTGAGCACACGCAAGTTATGTTCCACCAACGATGAGGCGGAACGCTCTTCCGAGGGCGGGGATCTCGGGAGGCTGCACCAACACAAACCATCGGGAATCTCGGGCTATACAGGAATAGAGAGTTTGCGCCCTGTCCGGGCCACCTTCTCGAAACGTTCCATCAACCGATTGCAATTTCATGAAATACTGAAACATTGTGAAATGTGCGCGTCGGCTCCGGAAATCAAAGTTCGCTGTTTGGCGGCGATCTTCGCCTGCGTTCTGCATGTACTCGAAGTTCCCTTGGCAGACGGAAATACTGAATCACATCAGCGAATGGAATCTGGAAAAGTCTCGGCGGTGTCATGAGTCCATATTCAGGAAGTATCTCCGAGACATTTCTCTCGGCTAGCGCGCGTATCTCATAGAGGTCGCAAACGGCGCCGCGCGCGGGAGCTTCTCCCGTATGGCCAAACCTCTATCTAGGGATATCCGTGGGGTGACATTCAGAGTGAACAAGTACCAAGCCTGCCGCCGAAAAACGATTTCGGAAAATGACCTAGAGGCACCGAATCGACCCTCGTGGCACGTGGTGAGAAGACCCTTGCCATATTCTCCACATTGGAAAAAAATCTTTCCCCAGAACCAGGAACTGCGGCGTGAAACATCGCAAGCGCATCCGGGAGAGGGTCGGGATATGGATCGACCCGACGGCACGTGGCGCTCGTTTATATTGCGCGTCACTCATTGGGAAGTAGCCCTCGCAAACGACCCCGAAGCGCTTCCAACTTTTTGATTCGCAGCGGAGCTCCGAAGGGCCAGATCCCAAGGTCGGAACCCTTGGTGCGAGAATTTTCATTCACGACCCGCCTGACGTTCGAATCATCGACATCAGCTATCAGGATTTTCGTTCTGTGAAATACTGAGGCGAGCGAGTTGTCGAGGACAATTTCACTTTGTTTCTATCATGAGACCAGAGCGCTGGCGGGGGGTTATGACGGGGGAAGTCGATGTATCCAGCCGCCGCCGCGCGTACCGCCTGGTGGTACGAGGGTAACGACAACGACGACGAAGAAAGCCAGGGCCCTTTCCGCAAAAGGAGCCGTCGTCGTCGTCAGGCACAGCAGCGCCACATGGTGGCTTCGGGCAAGAACTCTCAGCAAAGACGCACGGGTGTTTGCCGGCCGGCAGGCAGACTGTCTCTGGTCTGCGGGGAGGGTGTCCGGCCTTTGGAACAGCGGCGACTTTCGGCCCGCAGCAGACACGACTGGTCCTGCTGAACTGAGAAAG